TGTGTCCTGACTATTGAAAAATCAATCTGTTTTTAGATGTATCCTGTACGACTATTGAAACATCAATCTGTTTTTTAGACGTAGTCCTGGTACTGACTATTGAAACATCAATCTGTCTTTTAGACTGTAGTCCTGTACTGACTATTGAAACATCAATCTGTCTTTTAGACTGTAGTCCTGTACTGACTATTGAAACATCAATCTGTCTTTTAGACTGTAGTCCTGTACTGACTATTGAAACATCAATCTGTCTTTTAGACTGTAGTCCTGTACTGACTATTGAAACATCAATCGTCTTTAGGACTGTAGTCCTGTACTGACTATTGAAACTTTCAATCTGTCTTTTAGACTGTAGTCCTGTACTGACTATTGAAACATCTGTCTGTCTTTTAGACTGTAGTCCTGTACTGACTATTGAAACATCAATCTGTCTTTTAGTCTGTAGTCCTGTACTGACTATTGAAACATCAATCAGTCTTTTAGACTGTAGTCCTGTACTGACTATTGAAACATCAATCAGTCTTTTAGACTGTAGTCCTGTACTGACTATTGAAACATCTATCTGTCTTTTAGACTGTAGTCCTGTACTGACTATTGAAACATCAATCTGTCTTTTAGACTGTAGTCCTGTACTGACTATTGGAACATCTATCTTTATATGTGTGGTGGTCCTGGCAACCCTGTCTGCATTGTGTTTTGTGTTAGTTCTATCATATGTGTGATGTTGGTCCTGGCATCCCTGTCTGCATTCGGTTTTCACCGTCAAACACACACACACACACAGTCATGCATACACACACTTGCACGCCTACACTCAAAATAGGCACCCCAGGCGCGCTCGCGCACACACACACACACACACACACACACACACACACACACACACACACACACACCACACACACACACACACACACACACACACACACACACCACACACACACACACACACACACCACACACACACAACACAACACACACACACACACACACACCCATCCGAACACACAAACACACACCACACACACACACACACACACCACAACACACACCCATCCACCGGCACACACAAACACACACACCACACACACCCATCCACCGGCACACACACACACACACACACACACACCACACACACACACACACATACACACACATACAAAAAAAATAAAAAAAATATGCCATTTAGCAGACGCTTTTATCCAAAGCGACTTACAGTCATGCGTGCATACATTTTTGTGTATGGGTGGTCCCGGGGATCGAACCCACTACCTTGGCGTTACAAGCGCCGTGCTCTACCAGCTGAGCTACAGAGGACACACATGTGTACACCAACACCCGTCCATTTTATGTCCTGTTAGAGTCTATAAATATTTCCAAATATAATGTCAGTTTTGTAAAACTATTTTCCATCACATCTCAAATAGTCATTTGGTTTCTTATTCTAGGAGTTATCATTTCCATACTACAGATTTCATTGATGGTTTCTTTCCAAGTGCTTATTTGTGGCTTAATCCAGTTTCTAGTCATCCGTTTAAATGCTGTTCTTTTTCTATTTAATCCCCAAAAACCTGTTACTATGGAATACCATTTCAATGCAATAACTATTGTATTGCTGTGCCTTTGCATACAGGTGCTTATTTGTGGCTTAATCCAGTTTCTAGTCATCCGTTTAAATGCTGTTCTTTTTCTATTTAATCCCCAAAAACCTGTTACTATGGAATACCATTTCAATGCAATAACTATTGTATTGCTGTGCCTTTGCATACAGTAGACACTCATATAGAGGACATGGGCCCTGTTCAGGTGTTCTGTAACCAGAAGTGGGTCTACCTCTACAGGTGTTCTGTAACCAGAAGTGGGTCTACCTCTACAGGTGTTCTGTAACCAGAAGTGGGTCTACCTCTACAGGTGTTCTGTAACCAGAAGTGGGTCTACCTCTACAGGTGTTCTGTAACCAGAAGTGGGTCTACCTCTACAGGTGTTCTGTAACCAGAAGTGGGTCTACCTCTACAGGTGTTCTGTAACCAGAAGTGGGTTTACCTCTACAGGTGTTCTGTGATATGAAGACGAGCGGTGGGGGCTGGACCGTGCTGCAGCATCGTAGAGACGGAGCGGTGGATTTCCACCGTGGCTGGAGGGATTACAAGATGGTATGTTCACTAGACTTTAAACACAAGAGGTCAACCAAGTCTTCTTTGGTGGGTCATTGTCAGCAGAGACCGCTTCTGTATTTCATTGAACTACCGGTAGTAGTCAAAGAGGCAGGAGTGTCTGTTAAGGCAGACTATTTTAGACTATGTTCACCTCAACAACAGCAGATCATGTCAACAGAGTATTTTCCTGGATGTCTTTAAAATATCTAACATAATTTGTGTAAATAAAGTCAGATTTTCTTTCAGTATATTACCATGGAAAACTCTCACAGCGTCTGGTACAACGTCATCTATCTAGTTTAGGCAAGTTGTTGTGATAGACTTCATCCAAAAGCAAGATAGCAAACTCTCTGAATCACAGGCGCATTGTTATACGAGTTTGTAGGATTAGGAGGAGCAGTGGTTCTGGATTCTTCACTTAGACTAGACAGGAGGTTCCAATCCCTTTAAGAAGGGGTAGAGGAGAGGGTTGGAGAGGGTTTAGGATTGGGGAGGCGTGGGATACAGACAGATCTGTGATCCGGGGTGACCCTGGTTGTTTGGGTAGGCTTCCCCCCTTGTTCCCCGACGACACTCCCTGTTCTGTTGTTGCACCTGCACTCTCTCTGTCTCTCCCTGTCGGTGTCCGACCCCCACACACAGTCATAACACATCAGAGACACACACACAACACAGACGCGCGCACACACACACACACACACCACAACACACACACACACACACACACACACACACCACACACAACAACACACACACCACACCACACACACACACACCCCAACACCCACACACCACCCACCAACCACTAAAAACAAAAAAACCCCAAAAAAAAAAAAAAAAAACAAAAAAAAACACACACACAAAAAAAAAAAAAAAAAAAAAAAAAAAAAAAAACAAAAAAAAAAAAAAAAAAAATTAAAAAAAATAAAAAACCCCCAAAAACCCAAATTCCCGAAAAAGACCCACAAAAACACCAAAAAAAAAACACACAAACACACAACAAACCCCACACCCACCACAAAAAACCCCCTTTAAACTCACACACAAAAACACACACAAAAACCCACCCAAAAACCCCCACCCCCAAAACCCTCGCCCACTACACCTCACCCCCACACCCCAAAACACACACACACACACACACACCACACAACACCAACACTCCATCCCCTCACACTCACATACTCCCATCATAACCCTGCCCACTCTAAAAGTCACTTCGATCAGGGGGTTTCGGGTATTTAAATTTCCGCTGATCTTTTTGATTGGTCAAGAGATCCCCCATGGAGAGTACGGGGGGATAGAGACTAGCTACGCAACAGGTATTAAGATCCCCCATGTAAGTACTGGGGGGAAAGGAACAGGCTAAAAACAACAGGGCAGTAGAGTCCCACCATGTAGAGTACTGGGGGGAGTAGATCTAGCTAACAGCAACAGGATCATAGAAATCCCCCATTAAGACTGGGGGGAAGGGGAGACTAGCAACGCACAGGGTCATAAAGCCCACCATGTGAGGTTTCTGGGGTTAAAAATCTAGCTAAAAGAACAGGGTCAGTAGAGATCCCACCATTTTAATCGGGGGGGAAAGAAAAATACTAACAGCAACGGGTCAAAGATCCCACCATGAGAGTAATTTGGGGGGAGTGGGGATAAGCTAAAACGCCAGGATTTATAGAATCCCCCTGTAGGTACGGGGGGGAAAAGATTTTCTGCTAACAGCAACGGATCAGTAGAGATCCCACATGTAGAGTCTGGGGGAGGAGGGGGGTCTAGCTAACAGCAAAAAGGGTCATGGGGATCCCACCTGGAGGTCGGGGTAAGAGGGTACTACTAAAAGAACAGGTCAGTAGGATCCCACCATGTAGATACGGGGGTAAAGAGATACTAGCAACGCAACAGGTCTAAAAATCCCACCCTGTGATACTGGGGGTAAAAGAGAACTAGCTAACAGGCAAAGGATCAGTAGAGATCCCACCAAAGTAGAGTACTGGGGGTAAAGAGAGACTACTAAAAGCCCAGGATCAGTAAGATCCCACCATTAGAGACTTTGGGTAAAAAAGACTGCTAACAGCAAAGATCATAAAACCCCAGTAGAGTACGGGGGGGAGTAAATACTCTAACAGCAACAGGATCATAGAGATCCCCCCATGTAGGTAAAGGGGGTAGTAGAGAGACAGGCTAAACAACAGGGCAGTAGATCCCCCATGTAGGGGGCTGGGGGTAGTAAGAACTAGCTAACAGCCAGGATCGAAATCCCACCATGTGAGTCTGGGGTATAGAGGAATAGCAACAGCAACAGGGTCAGTAGAATCCCCCCCATGTTAAAAAGTACTGGGGGTAAGAGTACGCTAACAGCAAAAGATGTGAGATCCCCCCATGTAGAGTTACTGGGGGGTATAGAATACTAAAAGAAAAGGGTCGTAGAGATCCCACCATGTAGAGTACGGGGGGGGAGTAAGATCAGCTAACACAACAGGGCATAGAGATCCCCCTGAGAGTACTGGGGGGTAAAAGGGACGGTAACCAACAGGTCATAAGATCCCCCATGTAGAGTACTGGGGAAAAAAAAAAAGACGGTAACAGCAAAAGGATCATAGAACCCCCCTGTAGAGTACTGGGGGACAGAGATTTATAGCAACAGCAAAAGGTCATAAGACCCACCATGTAGAGTAAAATGGGGGGAAAAAATACTAGTAAAACCAACAGGATCAGTAGAGATCCCACCATGTAAGTACTGGGGGTATAGGATACAGCTAACAGCAAAAGGATCAGTAGAGATCCCCCCCTGTGATACTGGGGGTAAAAAAAGACTAGCAACAGCAAAAGGGTCATAGAGATCCCCCACATGTAGAGTACTGGGGGTGTAGAGACTGCTAACCCGCAACAGGGCAGTAAGTCCCACCCCTTAGAGTCTGGGGTAAAGAGAGGGTTTCTAACAGCAACAGGGTCGTAGAGGTCCCATTTTAAATACTGGGGGGTAAATGAATCTACTAACCAAACCGGGTCAGTAGAGACCCCCATTTTTGAGTACTGGGGGTAAAGAGTACTACTAAAACCAAAAGGACAGTAGAGACCACCATGTAGGTATGGGGGGGAAAAAAGAGACTAGCTAACAGCAACGGATCAGAGAGAAACCCCCCATGTAAATACTGGGGGTAAAGAAGTAGCTAACAGCAAAAAAGGACAGAGAGATCCCCCCATTAGAGTACGGGGGTGTAAGATATAACTAACACCAAAGGTCTAAGATCCCCCCAGTAAATAGGGGGTTTAAAAGGACTACAACCGCAAAAGGTCATAAGATCCCACCATGTAAGTAGGGGGGGTAGTAAGGGTACTGCTAACGCAACAGGATCATAGAGATCCCCCCAGTAGTACTGGGGGGTATAAGAGACGGCTAACAGCAAAGGATCAGTAGAGATCCCCCATGTAGATACTGGGGTTTTAGAGATCCCAGCTAACAGCAAAAGGATAATAGAATCCCCAAAACCCTGTAGAGTATGGGGGGGGTAAGATACTAGCTAAAAAAAAAGGGTCAGTAGAGATCCCCCCTGTAGGACGGGGGGTATAGAGATACTAGCTAAAAGCAAAAGGGTCAGTAGAGATCCCCCCATGTGAGTACGGGGGTAGTAGAGGAAGCTAAAAAGCAACGGGTCATTAGAGATCCCCCCATGTGATAGGGGGGGAGTAGAGATTAGCAACGAACAATCAGTAAATCCCAAACCATGTAAGTACGGGGGGGATGAGATAACAACCGCAAAATCATAGAGATCCCCCCATGTAGAGTACTGGGGGTATAAAAGGGAAAAGGCTAACACAAAAAAGGTCAGAAGACCCCCCATGTGGGGTACTGGGGGTAGAGAGGGAATAGCTAACAGCAAAGATCTAAGATCCCCCCCATTTGAGTACTGGGGGGAGAAGGAAATAGTAACCCAAAAGGATCATAGAGATCCCCCCCATGTAGAGTCTGGGGGTGTAGAGAAATAGTAACACAACAATCAAGAGATCCCACCATGTAGAGTACTGGGGTAAAGAAGACAGCTAAAAAGCAAGGGGTCAGTAAGGATCCCACCATTAAGTATGGGGGGTAGTGAGAGACTAGCTAAACAAAGGATCATAGAGATCCACCATGTAGAGACTGGGGGGGAGTGGACAGCAAAAGAAAAGGATCAGTAAGATCCCCCCAGTAGATAATGGGGGGGTAGAATACAGCAAAAGCAAAAGGGTCAGTAGAATCCCACCATTAGTTCTGGGGTAGTAGAGAGACGGGTAACAGCAAAAAGGGTATAGAGATCCCCCCAGTAGGTACTGGGGGAGTTAAGATAAACCCGTAACGCAACGGATCAGTAGAGATCCCCCCCATGTAGAGTACTGGGGGAGTGAGGACGGTCCAGCAACAGGAAACAGTAGGATCCCCCCAGTAGAGTACTGGGGGTATAGAAACCCGCTACGCAACAGGACAGTAGAGTCCCCCAGTGATTGGGGGGGTGAGATACTAGCTAACAGCAAAAAAGGATCGTGGACCCACCAGTGAGTAGGGGGTAGTAGGGAAAATAGCTAACGCACAGGATCATAGAGATCCCACCCTTGAGACTGGGGGGAAGAGGAAAGGGCTAACCAAAAAGGATCAGTTTGGGTCCCCCCATGTAAGTATGGGGGTAGTTTGAACAGCTACACACGGGTCTAGAGATCCCACCAAAGTAAGTACGGGGGAGTAGAGAACACTAAACAACGATCAGTAGAGACCCACCATTAGAACTGGGGGGTTTTAGAGTTACTAACAGCAAATGACAGTAAAACCCACCAGTAATTCTGGGGGGAAAAAGAACAGCTAAAAGCAACGGGTCAGTAGAGATCCCCACCATTAGAGTACTGGGGTAAAAAGAGACGTAAAGCACAGGATCAGTAGAGATCCCACCCGTAGAGTAATGGGGGTAGTAAAGACGGGTAAACAGCAAAGGGTCATAGAGATCCCACCCGTAAGTCTGGGGGTAAAGAGAACTAGCTAACGCAAAAAGGGTCAGTAAGATCCCCCATGTAAGTACGGGGGGGAGTGAGACTGCTAACAGCAACAGGATCAGAGAGATCCCCCCATTAAGTCGGGGGTAAAAAAACACAACAAAAGGATCTTAGAGATCCCACCATGTAGAGTACTGGGGGGTAAAGAGAACTACAACACAAACAGGACATTTGAACCCACCCTGTAGATACGGGGGTAGAAACTACTAACACAACAGGGTCTGAGATCCCCCCATTTAAATACTGGGGGATAGAAATACTGCTCACAAAGGGTCTAAGCCCACCTTTGAGTACTGGGGGGTGAGGAACTAGCTAAAAGAAAAAGGATCATAGAGATCCCACCCTTAATACTGGGGGTAAAGGATAACTAACACAACAGGTCAGTAAGATCCCCCTTAGAGTACTGGGGGTAAAGGAAAACTAGCTAACAGCAACAGGGTCAGTAAGATCCCCATGTAAGTATGGGGGGAGTAGAGATCTAGTAACCCAAACAGGGTCAGTAGAGATCCCCAGTAGAGTCGGGGGTAAAGAGATACTAGCTAAAAGAAAAAGGGGTCAGTTTAAAATCCCACCAGTAAGGGGATGGGGAGTAGAGACTACTAACACAAAAGGGTCAAGAATCCCACCTGTAGAGTACTGGGGGGAAAGAATACTAGCTAACGCAACAGGATCAGAGAGATCCCACCCTGTAGAGTACGGGGGGAAAGAAACTAGCTAACCGCAAAGGTCATAGAATCCCACCATGTAGAGTTGGGGGATAAGATACTACTAACAGCAACAGGTCAGTAGAGATCCCACCAGTTAATATGGGGGAAAGAGATACTGTAACAGCAAAAGGATAGTAAAAACCCACCCTGTAAGTTTCTGGGGGTATAGAGATCTAGAAAAAAAGCAAAAAAGGATCAGTGAGATCCCCCATGTAGAGGGGGGTAGTAGAGTTTCTAACAGCAACAGGATCATAGAGATCCCACCAGTAGAGTACTGGGGGAAAAAAGATACACTAAACAACAGGATCAGAGAGATCCCACCCGAAAGGGAAAGGGGGGAGTTTGGAAAACTAGCTAACAGCAACAGGGTCAGTAAGCCCACCCGTAGGACT